CAAATTACTACAAAACTTAGCAACTGAAAACAACACACATTTAGTATCTCACAGTTTTTGTGGGTCAGGCATCTGCAACTGACTTAGCTGGATAAAGGGCCAATTTATCCATTAGGCATAGCATGTGCAGTGTCTAAAGCCCACATACTTGTCAGCACAATTTCCTTTATGCAATAAGTGAAACACATCCTCCCTCATCTCCAGTGGAGAAAGGGTCCATGAAGACAAAAGTGCCTAAGGCCCACAAAAGTCATACAGTGTGGCTCTGGCTGTGTAGTTCTAGCTGAGGGTCTCTTAATGAGGCTCCAGTCAAGCTGTCAGCTGGGACACAGTCATCAGAAGATTCTACTGTGAAAGGATCCACTTCCAAGTTCATTCATGTGGTTGCTGGAAGGTCTCAGCTCCTCTCTGGCTGTTGGCTGGAGGCCTCAGCTCCTCACCATGCAGGCGTCTCCATGGCTGCCTTCATGTCCCCAAGATATGGCAGAAGGCTCCCTCCAGAGCAAGGGGGGGGGAGGAAAAGAGAGAGAGAGAGAGAGAGAGAGAGTCTAAGATTAAGGTTAAAGCCTCAGTGTCTTTATAACCTAATCTTGGAAGTGACATACCATCACTTCCGCCATATTCTACTGGTCACACAAACCAACCCTGGGATGATGCAGGAGGGATGTGACTACCAGGATGCAGGGATCACTGGGGGCCATTTGAGGGGCTGGCTACCAAAAGAACTATTTTTAATAGTTAGAAACTAGAAACTATCCAAATGTCTATCAACAGTAGAAAGGATAAATAAATGATGGTGCATTTATACAATGGAATCCTGCACAGTAATGAAAATGAACCATTTATAATTACATGCAACATGGAGGTACCTCCCAAATGTAATGTGGCATGCAAGAAGCCAGGCACAAAGAATACATACTGTGTAATTCCATTTACATAAAGTTGAAAACAAAAACAAAAACAGGTAACAATGCTCTATGTTAGTGGTGAGGATAGTGGCTTGCCTGGAAAGATAGCTGCTGGAAGTGGACTCAAGAGGGGCTTTCAGAGACAGGCAATATTTGGTTTCCTCACCTGGGTTCCACAGGTTTGTTTGTGAAATTTATTGAGCTATACACTTTTCGCCATATCTTATACTTTAAAAAGGATCTTTCAAAAGTAGGTGATAGAACACCTTCATTGTCTCCCTTTCCTAAAGAGGTATCCTGTAAATGACATCGGTTATAAATAAGCATATATCTCAGATATCTATAATATTGGTGCTGACTCTAGGCCTCTCTTGCCATGAGACCTTGATTTATCAAGTCACTGACCCTCCCTGAACTGTAGTTTGCTTCTCTGCAGAGCTGAGTGTGGTGGGGAATATCGGGGAATATCAGGTACCGTTGAGTAGTGTTGTACACAAGATTAATTACGAGAGTCAGTGGACACTGTAAAAATCAAATAGAAACAAATTACCCTTTAAGATTCCTTGAAATTCCTTAGATAAGCTTTAAATCACTGGGAAGTCCTTGGAAGTTCAAAAGCCGGGAACCAGGAATTTACTTCTTTTGTTTCTCTTTAGATTCTGTCCATGGTCTTTCTTTCTGTGAGGCAGTCTAGGACAAGGTTGGCTTCAATGGCAGTGGGTGTGGGGGAAAGCATTTCTCCCTCTCCTGGTCTTTTTGTTGTTGTTGAGGGCACCTATTAAATATTAAAAACACCCTTACAATGACTCCAGTGTATGTGAAAGCACTGAAACTTATAATAATCTTAAGGAAATGTAAATTCTGACTCATCTTTGGAACAGGTGCTTTCCCCAGATTATCTTGGGTCTAGAAAGCCTTGTGGATAATGTCAGGGTTAAACGACGTGACTGATTAACGCCGTTTAACCAAAACAGGGGGCTGCTTGATGCTAAACGACGTATTGGGAGAATGAGTAGAAAAAGAAGTTGAAGTCAGCGTTAAGTATTATTACAAATAGAAATTTTGCAAGTATGTAGTACTTCATGGTTTCCAAAATCATTTGTGAAAAATTAACCTAATTTTAAAGATGAGGCTTAACTTCTCAAGATCACCTGACTAGTTTAACAGGAGAGCTAGGATTCATAACCAGATCTTTCAAGTTTAGAACCATAATACTTCTCAGGAGACCAGTATCTCTCTCTCTGTCCCTCTTGTGGTATGTGTGTGTGGTGTGTGTTTGTGTAGAGGGGGTTTACAAAGAGGTAAGTTTGAGAATTTGTGACCTGGCTCTCCTGGGTTTATCCTCTGGCCACTTGCATGATCTACCTGAGCATGACCACCTACTCTAGGCGAGACTCCCTGGCCAGGGAGATAGGAAGAGCGGAGTTACCTGGGTAGCTGTGGTGCTCACCTGGACAGAGGCCTGCTGCACAGGATGAGGTTAAAAGCAGTTCCTGTGCATTCTGGGATGTGTAGGGTTTAGGGAAAATCCTGCTGGGTGATATAGCTAGTTTCTGATGCTCCAGGATGGGGCCAGGTTATTATTATTTTTTAATATATATATGTCTGCACCATGCTTATGCATTCATTTAACATCTGCTTCTCACTATATCATAAAAACCATTTGTAAAGACAAACCTTGCCCATAAAGACATATGTTATGAGATAATTGTGATATCATAATTTGAGTCTGGGTTTGACCAGGACTATTTCTGTGCATAGGACTATCTCTTTGCAGGCGTGTGTACTCTTTAATGTGACTGAAGGCTCCCTTAACAGGGCAAGTCCTTCCCATACTTTCAAGGAGAACCCAGAAATAGCCACGGTGAAGTGGTTTAGGGAGGAGGGTAGGGGTGAGTTCAATGGAGAATCTTCCCCGAGTCCTCACATCCAGGGGAAGTATTTCTATCTCCAGATATGATCCCACATCGGTCACTACAATTTAAGTCATTCCATGATGTTTCTTTTGGGGCTCAGGTAGCAGCATGAGGCCCCCTGGTGGCCTGAAATAGTTCATGAGTTTACTTTTCAGGCATTTTGAAGGGCAGGTATGGCTGGAGAAGTACAAGGGTAATAAATATTCACCTAGACTTGGTGCTTACGCGGAGAGGCAGGGCAGAGTAGGATGACCTGTTTTGGGAGAGTTGAGAACCAAAGATTTTTGTTTTGTTTTGTTTTGTTTTTAGAAATTTTATTGCAAACAGTGTGTTTTTCCAGGACCCTTCAGCTCCAAGTCAAGTAGTTGTCTACAATCTAGTTGCGGAGGGCGCAGCTCCTTGGCTTATGTGGGAATCGAACCAGCAACCTCAGCATTATGAGCCTGCGCTCTAACCATCTGAGCTAACTGCCCCCCCCAAAGTATTTTTCTTTTAAAGATTAAAACAAATGGACTATAATTCTGGATAAACCACTCACTTTCCACTTTTTCATTCCTTAGTTCATTTTGCAAATACCTATTGAGTACCTACTCTGTGTAAGACATTATATTAGGCATCACACGGGGGTAAAAAAAAAAAACAAAGACACATCATGCACGTCTAAGGAGCTTTGGAAGAGGATAAAACACTGACGCCACCAACATGCTAGAAAATGAAAGGCACCATCAGAGCTAAGTAAAGATTCTTGAAAGAACAGTTACTTTCAGATAAGAGGGAAGGTTTTTAGAAAGAGGTTACATTTGAGCTGGGGCTCTGCTGACAAGCAGGATTTGGATAAAGTGAGATGCAGAGAGAAAAGATGGTGTTCTGAAGGAGGGAACACAGAAGGATGACATGACACGAAGACAGGAAAATGGAAGCCTGATCCAGGAGTGGTGAATAGTCTGGTCTGGTGAACTCACAAGGAGTTCTTGGGTTGGAGTGAGAGTGAAAGCTGGATACATCTGTTTGGATCAGACCATGGAGAACCTTGAACACTTGCCTGAGACCTTTCTTCATCAAGCAGTGAGGTGCCTTTGCATCTTTGAGCAGAGTAGGGGCATCAAAGCACAGACTCCCTCCCACTGAAATAAACACAATGCCACACACTCTTGTATTTTGTCCAGTGGAGTGTTGATCTCTGTGTGTTTAAGATAATTGGGGTATACTCGACTGTATCAGTGACTCCAAATTTTTACCATCTGGACTTCAAAGCAAGGAACAAGCGGGCCATCAAGGTGTCTCCCTTTAACAAAACTACCTGAGCACCGGGAGCAGTCAGTGCCAGATGCGTCTGCCATATTTAATTAAATTGCTTCACAGAACGCCTTTCATCGAAAGTGTTATGCTAGGCTTGTTCTGCTTTGCTTTGTTTCTTCAAGGTATAAAAATGGCTTCCTGCCTCATTCTCTTTCTACTCGAGTTAAATGTGGTTTAAACTACAGGGACCGGGAATGTTTCTGGCTGGAGTTATGGGGTAGAGTCCTAGCTGTATGTGGACTAGTTTGATGTCCACAGAATTGAAGCAGTAACCTTACTTGAGTTTTCTTAGCACTCACTCAGTTAAGCAGCCTGAGAATCTACACAATGCCTGGCATATCGTTGGTGCTCAAAAACATATTAAGCAAATAGTGCATGACTGATTCAATAAACATGGACGACACATTTAACAGCACATTATAAAATTCCTGACCCGAGGCATTGATTTCCTGCTGGTAATAATGTAGAAATCTTTTAGAATATAGTAAACATAATTAGCAGTAATCTTTAGAAGTCATGAAAAAAATCATGTGATGCAAATAAAAATCTTCTAGTTAAGTTAGGACTAAGCAACATGCCCAACTGAGAGAAATACAATTGAGACGTTGCAGATGAAGCATGGGAAGATGAGCAATTTGGGCTGAATAAAAATAACTACAACAGAAACAGCCATTTAAGAAGTTTCAGCAGCAATGAGTATGTATTATTTCGAATGAAATGTACATTAAACTGTTATGTAAAAATCATCAAAAGTGCTATATTAGATCATTTGAATATTAACTTAAGCCCCTCCTCCATGTCATCTAGTAGCTACACCTTTTACCTATTTTTGTTTTTACTTCTGACACATCACATCATCATCTAAAATTGTCCAATGTTAAAACATAAAAAATATTAGTTTATTCTTCAAGGAAAAGTACCACCAGTTATGAGTTATTAAAACTGAAAAATAAAACAGATGCCAGAGAATCAACTTATTCACAAAAGAAATTATCATAGAATTTCATAGAAATATGCAAAGTCCAAGGCAATTTAGACTCTCAGCAGAACATTTTTACAATACAACTTCTTAGCCCCGCGGGTTATGTCTTTTGGAGGCAGGTCACAGGAATGCCAGAACTTGATTATTTTCTCATCTTTTCTTGGCTACTTTCCAAGGTGAACTAAATGTTGTCTAATACTGCACACCTCCCATGACCCCTCAAATGTTTAATGTAGAGGAAAAGCTGATTTTTCAGTCTTAGAAACAGCCCTTAGAGTTAAGTTTGTCATTAAAAAAGATATGTCATTCCTCATAGATGAGAACCCCTGTCTACCCTCCCACCATCAATCCACCCCCATTCCTCTAGTCTGCTCCAATGCCAAGTCCGTTCTCTCCCACACTAGTTCTGGGTGAACTGGCCGACCCAGGGAGAGGCCACATATCCCGTTTGGTCTCCTTCAGTCCTAAGCAAACAAGCTTCTCTGATTTGCCACGAGAGCCGTCTGACTCTCCCGTCTCTTGGCTTTCTTGCTTCTCTGTCTCACCTTCCAGCACAAGGCGCTGGAGGCTAACAAAAAAAGTCCTGAGGACAGAAGGACCAGGCCAAAGATGGAGATGATGGAGCCATGGGAATTAAAGCTGTACGCCACTGCAGTAGCCACTATCCCGGCGATGAGGACCACCACAGCGAAGGGGATGATACAGCGGTAGCAGGAGAGCTCAGCACCCCCGGTAGCGGCCATCAGCTGTATCTCACTGACTAGGGGGACCGTGGTGACCACAACTTCGCCCTTGGGATTCTTCTCCATTGTCCCTGGTTTAGGAGGCTTTGGGACTCCAAGGATCTCCTTGACAGGCTCTTCAGTCATTTTTACAGCGGCGTTTTTTTAGCCGAGTTCACAGACTAGACCTGGAGGGTCTCACCAGGGTGGAAGCTGTGGACGAGAAGACAGGACATGTCAGCTAAATGCCTTGGAGTGAGCCCTGCAAGAAGAAGTAAAGAGCTGGGGAATCACCGCGCCGTTCTTTTCCAGCAGGCACAAATGCATGTGAAAATCAACCGTGATTTCTTTTTCTAATTGCTTGCATTCTCCTTGCAAGATAAAGCAGAAAACTATAAAGAAAGGGACTATATAAAAAGCAGGAAGCACTTTGCAGTGTTTAATACACCCTGGTGGTCTACAAAGGTTTTACTAGATTTTCCACTTTTGTCTATTGCTGCTTTTTCCTCCAAGCACGCAGGGAAGCTTCAATCCTAATCCCAAAACGGCTCCATTCAAGAGGCGAGTACCTTATAAACAATACTTCGCACAGTTCGTTCCACAATTCTGAGCAACTTAGACTCTGCCAATGTTTCCGGGCATAACATGCATTCTTTCCAAACTATCTACCCATTCACTGCCCACCAAATCAATGTCAAGACCAGAGGCCAGCGTACAAATGATGTTCGTCTACATCAACTTCACAGTCAACAAGTCTTTATTGTGTAACTATTAGACACGCGTCCTGGGACTATGGGGTGGACGCACTTCAGCAAAAATCTGGTGACAATTAGGATAGGATTTGTGGGTCTAAAATGTGGCAATATCCTCCTCTCCATTTGAAAGGAATGGAGAAAGAAAAATTAAGAAAAAAAAATTCAACAACTTTGTAGGATATAATTTTATGATTTTTTTTTTACATCAAAGAAAGGTAAGATCAACTATTAGAGTAATTAGCTGTCAATTCACAAATTTTCCATTCAAGTCAACAAGGAATTTTGATATTATGTGTACCAGGACATGTTGAAAATAATCACCATGCTAGATTTTTAGTAGAGTTTGACCAGTTTATTTTTTACCTCCATGCCCTTGTGTAAAAAGACTTGATGCAATGCAACCTTTGTAACATATTTTGAACCTGAACATTTCTGGACAAAACCTGAGACTCTTCTTCAAAAGCCTCTGGTTGAAATGCTGTCTAGGAGAAATCAGTGAAAACTTGTCTGCCTCTCAGACATGTTAAATCATTCTCTTTTGTCCTCGAGAGAAGCGATCTAGAAGCTAAGGAATCAAGCAGTGGTAGTTACCGAAAGAGTTTAAAGGAAGACCCTTAAGGCTATTTCAATGAGAGTAATACTTTGAAAGTATTAGGCATCCACTGAAAACAAACACAAGCCCAAATCAAACCTCACAAGTTCTTTCCTGCCCTGGGAGGTCAAAAATGTCACTCCCCGTGCAGTGAAGCTAAAGAGCAGAGCTGCCTTTTTTGCATGTAATTTTTTAGTCACCAAATTAACCACTGCTATCTAATGGTACCCTAAATACTGGCTAGGCCAGTAAAAGGATATTAGCAATTATGTCTGAAAGGAAAAAAAAAAACTTCACCCCAAAAGCTGAGACTTAAGCTTAATCTGAAAATAAAGTTCTGCCTGTCCCCAAACTATGTACGCATACCTCAGAGAGAAGAAGCAATCCATTACCAGGGAAACCACGCGACTTGGGAGGGAAGAAACTGCAGAGCTTGAGCTCCTCCCGGTCAACTTCTGGGAAAAGAACCTGCCACAGCACGTTTGTCAATAAAAATGACAGGACGGGAAAATCTTCTCTGGGGAAAAGAAAAGATAACAAAAATCCTGAACTGTATGGTTGGTTTTAGATCCTGCAGTTCTTTCTTTCACTCTATCTCTGTTCCTAAATGACGCTTGTCTTTCCCTCTCTCTCTCTTTTTATTTCCTCCCCCTCTGATTGCCCCTCCCTGTCTTTTTTTTTTTTTTCCTCCGTTCTTTTCCTTGCCAGCAGATTCCGAGTGTTGGCTTCCCCCAGCTCTGCTCAGTGACATGATAAGTCAGAATCATTCGAGAGTCCCCAGAGACAGAAGCCAGCTCTTACTTTTATTTCTCTTGCAGCGTTTACGAAGTAGACTGCTCTGCATTACTCATTTTTTCCCCCAGCCAACCACCAGATCTTCCTCCCGCCCATCAGGCATTTCACAAGAAAATCCCCGAGTCAGCTTTGCAGACCCAGCTGAGGGGACAGAGACGAAAGGGACAGACACTCTAGGGTGGCAGGAACAGCTGTGAAGTCATCGGGCAGCTGAATTCAGTCGCTAAGCCAGCAAAAATCCACGATCCTAGGTTTCCCTAGTACTCTTCATTTATATGTATGTGCTGGCCATCGGAAGCTTAAAGCCCCCCTCATTTGATGTTAATTCATTTAGGAACGCGGTGGGGGATACACATGTTTGTGGTTAAGAGAGAAAACCAGTCATCTAGTAAGCCCATACTTACTATATGGGCTAGGAGGGAACTTTGGCAATGCTGAAATCATCATCATCATCATCATCATCATCATTATCATCATCACTGTCATTCACAGATGCCCACTCTGGGCATGGCACATACAATGTGGATGCATGAACATTAATTCTCACTAATTTATGCATGAGTTTATAACTGAGTTTATAGAGTTTATAAATAAGGCTCAGAGAGGTTAAGTAATCTGAAAAAGTTCACACAGCAAAAGAGAACCCCTTGGTTTGAACACCAGTCTTTAAAGGGCACAAAAAAGAATCACGTGAGGAGCTTGTTAAATGTACTCTCATTCAGGCCTGTAACAAGCTCCTGGCTGAATGCTGATTTGCTTCTCATTGGCCCACTTTATGGGGCAAGGTATTTTAAACATTCAAACGTATACGGTTTGACATGTCACCCTCTCAAACAATGAAGTGAAAAGTCTCTCTCCGAATCCCTCTCCCCAAATGGCATTATAGGTTTAGACTTTATTAGACAAGCTATTTGAAGTTTTAAAGCCTCAGATTGTCTTTGTGAAGGGAGAAAAAAAGAGATAATACTGGGAGACTATTATAAGCTGGTCCCTCTATGTCTATAGCTAAAAGTTAACCCATCCTCTATTTTTGAATCTATACAAGTTTTAATAGCATCTTTTCTAATTAATACAGTGAATCTACAAATGTAAAGTAAATCTCGGGAGAGATTTGTTTTCCTTCTTTCTCTCAGATTGTTAGATTTCTGTAACTGCTAACAGAGGGCTTGGGTGTTCCCGGGCATCTGGCCTCTGTTCTACGATAGCTGCTTGTTCCAGCCTTGTCTAGTGACAGCATCGTGATGGTTTTGTTATAAAGGGAGAGCGACCACAGCTCCTTTTTTTTCTAGAATGGAAGCCAGAGAGACGGCTTCTTCATTTTGAAAAATAAAGTTGAAAAGTCCCTGAAGCCTGGCTGAGCGAGGAAAGCCCAGCCTGCTGAGGAGAATGACTACCTGGCCAGGCCTCAGCAGCCACCACCCTCATACTTTTAAAAGGTGGGGCATAAGGAGACACAGCCATCATCCAGGAGGACCGCTGTCATTTGGTGGTGAAGACAAGGAATACTTTGAAGGGTGTTTCAGCATTTGCCAACACTGCCCTGGGAAGATGGTGATAGTGGGGTCACTGGCTACATAAGTTGGAGGTTCTTGAGAATCTTCTTATAAGAGCAGCTGTCCTTCCACCTGTGAACTGTGGCCTTTGGGGACAGTTCCTCTCTACTTCCTAGCACAGGCTGCTTCCCCCCCACTCCCAGCACTCCCCCCACAAATAGTTCAGTAACCCCACTGAAGGTTGGACTATCACCTTCTCCTGCGGAAGATCATGTTCCCCTATTACCAAAGGTACATGAATCAACCTTCTTCCAGAGAGAAGCCAGAGGTACCTTTTCCCATGGAGAGCCCTTGGCTGACTCTATGAGGGCCAGTGAGTGTATAGGTGCCGGGAGCCTGGGCAGGTCTGCTATTACTTCTTCAGATACCAAAGCTTTCTTCAGTCTCTCAGGCTTCAAGTCTCATAGTCACCCTAATTCTTCTCCACAGAGGCTGCATCTGCCTAGATGCACAGATGCACATCTCCAGAGTCTAATGCGATATAATTGATTTGTGTTGGTAAGTATCAAGAAGTAGAAAGCTTTGTGATAAAGAAGAAATTGCATCTGAAGAACAAACAACCTATCATAATACCCACTGGACGCATGCAGATTTAACTGACTGTTACCTTTTCACATTGAAATTTAAAGAGAATTCCTAGTGATCAACGCCTGGATAGCTTTGAATGTTTTTTTCTTTCTTCCACTCTGTGCCTGTAAGATACAAAACACCTCTGGGGATTCTGTAAGGGACACCTGCCCCCAAATGCAAGGTCTCATCCACAATGCAACCAGCCTTTTTTCTGCAAGCCTTCTTTCAGAAGGGAAAGGAAATCTTTCTGGTTCTTTTTTAAAACACATGGTTCCAGGAGATTCCTTTAAATTTGGAAAACTTTTAAGGGAGCTTCCAATGCATAAATTAAATCTATGTCCCCCTCACTCCACCCCTCCATAAGCATTCAACATTTCTCTCTCAGATCTTTCAAAGAGCAAGGCAAAGATCCTTACCTTTCCCAGCCAGAATCGGACTGAGACAGCTGCCAGCTCTGGCCAACCGCAACCCAGAGAAGGGGATGCAAATCACAGTCCTAGGGACCGTAAACAAAGTACTTAACAGGCTTACGCACAATTAAGGGACCGGAGAAAAATTGGTGAGAGGAAATCCCTTAAATGCTGGACTTTTTTTCTAGGGTTCCCACTTTCAGAATGTGATCCATATTTTCAAAGCGGGAACCACGTGTGAAAAGAATGTGCTCCATTGTTTTTTCTCTCCTTATATTCTCCTTCAGGCTTTCCTTTTCAAGGTTTCCCTATCCAAAGCCCCCCATCTTGAATCTATCCCTCTGTAATTCTGTGAACCTGCAGCAAAAATTTTGTAATCCTTGCTCTGTACTTCTAGGTGGGTGTGGGGTTTGGAATGTGTGTGGGGATGGGGCGTGGGAAGGTAAACTAATCTCTTTCCATGTAACATGCAAGTAATAAGAGGAATAAAGGGAGAGAAAGATTAATGGGGAAGATGACATGTGGCGCCTTGTGTGGACCCTCTTCCTAAAGTCAGAGGTGTGGTGTTATCAGCGTTCTTTATCAGAGGATGGCAAGGCACCATGGAAATGATGGCATACTGGAAAATCACATCTCTGAGGAGCTGAGGCCACCGTCCACCAAAGACACCATACACGTCAGAGCGAGGAACCCTTGCTGTTCCAGACAGAATTCCCCCCAATTTAAAATATCTCATTTTACTTCACAACAAGACCAGAAGCAAAGTTATTTAGGTGAGGGGATCTATTTAGAACGGGAAGAGGGCACGGAAGACGGCAAGTACCGTTACAAAGAGGAGGTTTTGCCTCTTTCCCTTCAGTAGAAGCCACAGGTTCAGTCTCTGGGTTCGAAAGGGTTTACATTCCAATTTTGCCTTGGAGTGTATGCTGCTGAAGACCTGGAAATGGCTCCTTGGGGAACACACAAGCTTTGTGTTTTGTGAGGAGCAACCCCATGTGCATTTGATTACTCGCCCACATTTACTTGCAGTTTGCTTTTGCACAGTGTGGTAGACTTGGCTAGTTTCCAGCAGCCCTGAAGATGCCAGTTCCTGTTGGGCCCTCTGTTCCATCATTGCTTGTCTTTTGATCTCGGCCATCACCCAGTCCAATTGGATTCAGTGAGATTCGGGAAGCCGGCCAGCTTCTCCCCTTTCCAGTGCTTCTTTTCAGGGCGTGTCTGCATTTGTGTTCTGAAATCGTGAACGTTTGGGAAAATGATCTGTGTGTGTGTGTTCATTTTGGATAACAGGTAATATTATGATTGCTTTCCCCACCCTACCCCAAGGCGCTTCACTTGGAGATCTAGGACATTAAAGAGAGAGATCTGATAGTACCGAGAGGAATAATGGCTATGCCTTCTATATAAATACATATTTTACGACTTTCTGGTCAATTTCCAGGTCCCGGAAACTCATAAAATCCATGGGGCTATAGAAAGGAAAACATACATCTTTAAGGTGAGCATCCTGATCGCCATTCTCTTACCCATTTTGTTCTAAGTCATTTGGAAAGGTCACACAAAAAACAGAGCTGCTGAAATCAAATAGACAGAGTGGGATCTTAGGGAGGGCTGAGTAAATCATCTCTTACTTCAATAATCACTGTCATTCTGGCCTCAGATGAGAATTGATTTTCTTGTTTCAAAGTCTCAATATATGCGGAAACTGCTGTGATCCTGACACATCCCCTTGTATCTTGCACGATCTTTTATATTTACGTACATTATATTTTGGAGGCTTACGAGGAAGAAGCTCAAAAGTAAAGAGTTATAGCAAATTGGGCTGACTCGTTCCCAAGACAAGTGCATATTACTAGGGTCAGTCTCCCCCAGTGGGTTATGAGTCATGTATTCAGGGGCTTGTAGGAAGCCCACCATACTTTCCTCCCCTCCTCCCCCACAAGGGAAGGGAAGAGACAACTATGACCTTACCCTTTTGCCATGCCTTTTGATATCTGATAGTATGGGGCCCTTCTATGCCTTTTTACAGAAGCAATCTTCTATTAGCCTCTGGTAACAATATCACTTGTCCTGTCCATAAAATGACATGAACATTGTGTGATCCCAATCTACCCCTAATCAGCACATCATTCCTAGGCTTCAACATCAATCTGTTGCTGGGGATTTGAAACCACCCTGCAACCTGTAAAATTTTCTTTAAAAACCTAATAATCTATGACACCCTATAAGAGTCAGGTAGCTTTTCTTTGCTTCATATTCGTAGGACAGAATATACCTGCTGACCTGATCGGCCATCTCCCAGTTGTGTGCTGATGGTCTTCAAATGACTCATGTGGGATAGGTGCATCAGAACTGGCCCTCCCCCACATAATAAAAAACACAGTTAAAACCATAGATTTTAAGCTCTGTGCTTGGGTAAGAGGAACATCGAGTATATTTCCACAATTAGTTTTTGC